CCAGCTCTGTGCATGCAAGTACATGGAAGTAAGGTAAGTGTGAGCACATCTCTAGCCAGCTCTGTGCATGCAAGTACATGGAAGTAAGGTAAGTGTGAGCACATCCTTAGCCAGCTCTGTGCATGTAAGTACATGGAAGTAAGGTAAGTGTGAGCACGTCCCTAGCCAGCTCTGTGCATGTAAGTACATGGAAGTAAGGGAAGTGTGAGCACGTCCCTAGCCAGCTCTGTGTGCAGAAGTACATGGAAGTAAGGTAAGTGTGAGCCAAATTGGAGATAAATTGTCTCTTTTCAGGTGGAAAAGAGGCCATCTTGGTAGTCCTCCACATTTATTTACAAAGGATTCACTTTAAAGGTGTAGGGAAACACAAGGGGCTGGGTTGCGACCCAGAGGGGCTGCTACGACCCCTAGACCAAAGAAGAGGAAGAAAGAGGTGGTCACCAGCAATCTGGAATGGTCCAGTAGAATAAAGTTGTGTTTGGTGGAGAGAGGGATGTCCAGGCCTAGGCCACCTGGCAGCCTGGTGCCTGTCACGCTCTTCTGTCCCCTCTTCTCCAGCCAGGGCTCTCCATTGGCTCTGACACCCTGAGAAGCCAGAGGCACAGGGCAGGACTGACAGAGTGCAGCTCGCAACCCAGCGTAGGTGGCCGGTTATTGTCGAGACAGGCACATATTTCAATAGAAAAGCTGAAACCTATGTTCACTTTTAGGTAGCTGTATTGATTGACATATGGTTGACCTACAGTAGACTACACACACTAAATGTACCTTATACAACTTGCTAAGTTTGGCTGTGTATTTGTAGCTGTGAAACCATCACCATCAAAGTAGTGACTGGTAGGGCTGGGGAGATAGCTCAGCGGAATAAGTGCTTGCCTGGCAAGCCAGGTCCTGAGTTTCCCTGGTACCACCAAAAAAGAAGAAGAAGAAGAAAAAAAAAAGATAGTGACTGGTTTATCACTCTCAAACTAAATTAGCATTTAAGGTATTCCATGCAGTTGGTCAGGACAATGTGGGACGATATCATGAAATCAAGCCATAGTGGATATGATTCCAGAAGTTTTGACTCTGGAAAGATACACACAAAAAACCTAAAAGTATGTCAAAGCTTGACAGAAAGCTAATTGTTGCTTTTAATTAACATAAAAGATCATGAATTTGAAGTTTTTGGGGGCTTCATTTGTATCTGCTTATTGTAAATTTTTTTAAATAAAAAATATATAAATTTTTTTGATACACGGTCTGGCTGTGCAGTTCAGACTCACAGTGATCCTCCTGTCTCAGCCTCCGCAACACTGGGATTGCAGGTGTGTGCCACCACTCATGGTTTTGGTGGCCTGTGTTGCACATCTGGGGTTCTGGGGCCAGCATGGCGTGTGGTAACAGGGATCGAACCTAGGTCCTTATGCTTGCCAGGCAGGCACTTAGACTGCCGAGCTATCTCCCCATTCCTGTCAAATATTTAAAGCACAATTCTGTGGGTCTGCCTGGTCTCAGTATTTGAATCTGAGAAACTCAGTGGTAAGTGTTTACTTAATACTGACAAGATCATAGATTAGCAGGATAGGTGTGCATTTTATATGGTGATTATCTGTACCCTGCTTGCAGCAGCTATGTGACACTTTTTACTGTATACCTTGCATTTTATGTTAGCCCTCTCACCTACCCCAGGTGGGAGCTGATAGCTTCTTTTAAGGACCTTGAGCCTAATTACAGTACTAATTTTCTGAAGTAAGTTACTAAAGTTACTGCCTAATGTTACAAAACTAGTAAGTGATAGACTCAGGATGAGATTTAATTCCCTGAGCCCTGTATTATTCTACTTTAGATTACAAAAGAAAGCAAATCATTCACAAACACATTTTTGACCATGTATTTGTGACAGATTGCTTGCTGCCCATGGGCAGCAGCTATGGACACCAGAGTTGTGCTGACAGTCACCTGGCATTTCTGGCCTTGTGTGTCCTGGAAGTCAGGAGCTCCTACATGGGCAGCTGGCACCTGGGTGAGGGCAAGGAGGCCGGCAGGCATCAAATCTCAGGGGAGGAAGAGTTGGCCCACAAGGATGCGCCCCTGGGCACCTTGTCTTGAGTGCAGAGGCATTGAGAGGGGGACAGGACCTCACCAGAGCCTCTGCTGGGCTTCGAAGGGAAGCCACGTGAGTTCTGGTCTCACAGTCTTGGCAGGTTTTATTCCTCATGCCTGGATTGCTCTTATCTTGGTTTCTGAGGCTCACTCCTTCCTTCACTCCTCTGACTACTGAGGTGTTTTATCTTCTAGGAGATTCCTTCAGTCACCTCCACTGTGGGAGAGGAGCTGCCCTCAAGCTTTTTGGCCTTAGGAGCTCTGCTCTTGCTTAAAAATTGTTGAGGACCCAAACAGTACACATTGAGTTAAACCTTTCAAAATCTACCTTACAGAAATTAAAACAAAAATCACAAGAACATTTTTTGCAAGAACATTTTATTCAATGAAAAATAGCAATAATAAATTCTTTATTTGTTACCATAAGGAGCAGTAAGTTTTGTATTTTCCAAAGCAAAATAATTGAGAAGGGTAGCATTGTTTTATATTACTGAACATCTTTTTTGTTAATAAAGAGATTGTTACATCATTTCTGCCATTCAATCTGTTGCACTACATTTTAGTATATTTATAGTAAAAAACGAAGAAAATCTATTCTCACACAGATTTATAGTTTCCTTATAATGGAAAAGGGAGGAATATTTTAATAGCCTTTTTATTTACAGTTTGAAATTTATAGTGATCCTGTTTAAGAATTTTTATCTTTGCAAAACAAAATCCTATCCATATAAATCATACCCACTCTGTTTTTAACTTTCAATATAGGATTCAATAAGTTACTTAAGCTGTTCAATACTTTATTGTTTGCGCGAGACTATAGTGCTAGGACTCTGGGAGGCTGAAGAAGAAGATTGGGAAGTTTGAGCCCAGCCTGGGTAACTTAGCAAGACTTGGTCTTGAAAACACAATGCTGGGGGTGTAGCTTACTGGTAGGGTTCTTGCCTAGCTCTGTACAAGATCCTGAATGTATTCCCTGGTACCAGAAAAATGGAGAAAAAAATGAGAGTTTGTGTTAAGCGATTTTGCTCCATGGCAGGCTAATGCAGTGTGCTGAATACAGTGAGGGTAGGCAGAGAGGAGCAGTGACGCTTGATAGGTTAGGTGTACTAGCTTTCTTCTGTGAGGCAAGGTCTTGCTATACAGTTAAGGCTGGCCTTGAACTCACTACGTAGCCTCGGCTGACTTCGAACTCCTGGTGATCCTCCTGACTCAGCCTCCCAAGTGCTGGGTTTACAGGCATGTGCCACCACGTCCAGCTAAGCTAGGCGTATTAAATGCCCTTTTTAGTTATGAAATTTTTAGCTTGAAATGAGCTTCTCACAAGTATAACCCCAAAGTTGAGGAATTTAATTATTGTGCATATTCCATTTTAATGTTCTAAAATCCAATAAGTGGATTTTTAAAAAATGTATTTAGTACAGTTTCTACAGGATCTCACAACACAGATCAGACCTGTAGTAATCCTCCTGTTTTTCAGCCTCCCAAGCACTGGGATTGCATGCATGTGCCTCCATGCCCAGTCTCATTCACTGTCTCAGTGTGCCCTGGGGGCAGGGCCAGCATGGCACACCAGGGATTGAACTCCAGTCCCAGTGTCTGCCGAAGCAGGTGCTTTAATCTGCTGGGCTATCTGGCCAGCCCTTGATTCTTAAAGATTAGCAGCAGTGGGAATCTGGGCAGCTGTGTGTGAGGTGCTGCCAGTAGAGGGCTGGGCCACTTTTTTTTTCTTTTAAAGGAAAAGTTGATCATTCTTTTGAGATTCTGGTTTATGCAGAGTAGAATAAGAAATGACATAGGTTTCATTATGCTGTTAAATAGTACTTAACAAAAAAAATGGCATCTTCAAAGGTTCCTATTCTAATCAAACACTAACTTGTGTGCACAGAAATTTGAACACTACTTGAAAGAGCCACACTTCATGTTATTGCTACTTTTCTGTTAGGTAGTGAAAAGTGAATGGTTTCTAATGTGGTGCTCTGATAAAGATAGTTTGAAAATACCTCGAGTTTGTCGGGATGCGTCTATTCATCTTTTCAAATCATGTCTGTGTTCATTATCCTACTTGAATGAGGAAATACACTTAAGCTAGAACAGGAACAGGGTCAAACATCCAAATCAACCAGTGTCCAGTAAATCAGGCAGCCCCAGCATGCACTGTACTTACAGTGTCTCAATGTCATTCATCCATAGTT